TCCATGTGCTGAGGAGAGATGTTTATCTGTGTGAGTTCCTCTCCTGCTTGGACCCAAATGAAGACGACTGCAAAGGGGTTTTTATCAGAGCATGTGCTAGTGAGAAACACAGAGGGTAGTTCCAGTTCTGACAGAATAAAAAGACCTCAACTGTGGTGACCTTTGCTCCATCCAGATGGCTGTGGGCCAAACATCCTGACTAACCTTGCACCAATTGAGGAGAGAAATGATATCCTGCACGTGCAATGAGAAGGATGATAACAAGAACATTATATGAATTCAAAATGAAGGTCCCAAGGAAGGTGCCTTCCTGAAGCTATGCTTGCAGTGTTTTATGAATACCTTGATCTAACAGGAGACATCAGTGAGTTTAGGTGGTAATGGATGGTAAAGTAAGTTAAAAAGAGACTCTTGAGTTAAACACTGGAGGGAGAAGTTACAATGGACTGTGGCTGAGAGAAGATTCAGTCTTAATGAGAACAGGGATGTGCAACACAAGATGTAGAAGTTTGAGATGGTTTATTCTCCAGAGCCTTGTCAGATTATAGTGAAGGTAGTCAGGATCAGAAAACAGTGGAACAAAGGCACTACCTGCCACAGGGGATTTGGAAGGGGTTCTAGGGGTGAGAGATGGAGGTAGGAACACATTTCTTTACAAGACACTGATGCTGCCTCTCATCGTCATGCAAACAAAACTTGGAGCAGAACAGAGAGCCAGAGTTGGTTTACTGATCTCCCTGACCTAGCTCTATGGCTTGGCTGTGCATAACCTATGCTTTTTATTTACAGACTTCAGAGTTCATGCTTCAGATGAGTATTGTTGGTTGGCAAAAGAAACACCTTTCACTCCTAAGGATAAGAGCCAAACAAACACTGCCGGCTCAGGGGCAATCCAAAGCTGCAGTCTTAGCAGGTAGGCATCTGCATGACAATCAGAGAGGAGCAAACAAAAACCCTCCTCCGGGGGACAACTTGAGCAGGAGAGAAAGATGAGTGCCCCAGATTCCACCCCAAGAGCCCAGGGGAGGTAGTGGGAGAAGAGCTGGCAACCCAGCCCTCTGTTTTCACAAACACCTCGTGCCCATCCACATCACACTGAGGCACACCAACACCACTCAGGCAGCGTGGGCCTCTTGAGTATGAATGGCTGGCAGCTAGCCCTCTCCTTACACAGCCTGTGACACAACCTCTTAGCCTCTCTCCTGCCCTGGAACCCTGCAGGGTGGGTGCAGGCTGACCAGGGGGAGCCAGGTTCAGAGCTGCCTGGATATCACAGTACTGCCACATGGCTCTATCTCACTGCTTCCTGCAGCCCTACTTTACAGGAGCCACATCTCCCCACATGTCCTGGCTCTTTGTATGGGTTATGCATCTAGTGGGATGGTCACATGAGCAGGCATGCTAAATTTGTATCCCCCCACGTGTCCTACCCTGCCATAAGAAAGAAGAGGCTCGAGAGATGCGTTGGTGTAATAGTCCTTGCAGCTATTTTAGAAGCTCTCACTCCCACAGCAACACGAAGGGCCGTGGTGAAAACAAGAATCCTGCCTTCAGTTTCTAGAGCTGTCATACAGGCTCACTTCACCATCATGAAATAAAAAAAAAAAGTTACATGATGAACAAATATCCTGCTGCTTCCCATTCTTTAAAAAAAAATATCGAGAATGAAAATGGCAAATTCATTTGCTCATGCTGTTGTGTTCCGGAAAAGCTTTTAAGGCTTCACATTCAAGGAGCTGCAGCAGGAAAAAAAATTTGCTATTGAAGTTTCTTGTATAATTTCAAAACATTAAGTGGGTAATTGCTTGTAAAAGCCATAAAGGGGAGAGAGAACAAAAAAAAGTCAGTCTAATTTTAGCTCGTGTTTTGGAAATGACTTTGCTTTTGAAAGTTAATATATTCTTTTACCAGAAAACTTGAATCAAGAAAAATATGTATCTTCTTAAGTCAATTGCTTGCTCGGCTTGTAAGGACAAGGAGAAGAGCAGCAATGCTAAGTAATCCTGCATAAAGCAAGCTGTGCATCAGAGAAACAGGGCTTTCAATACTGTTTTGCAGAAGCAATTCCTTTTTCAGAATGGGGAACTCTTAGTAAACCTTACAGCATGGAAAAATAACATCCTCATGCAAAGAGATGCTGACTCTCTCTGGGGTTGCAAAATGACCCTGCAAGATCCTGATTGCTTTATTTGTGAAATCCTCTAGTGTCTTCATGCCCTGCTCAGAATTGCATTTTTCTTGCCCAAGGTGCTTGTCACCGATGTTTCTCTATCAGCAGTAGTCCCTGTTAAAGCAGGCATGTCACATGTATTGGAGTCTGAAGGCTTGTATGGAAATCTGGTGGGATCCACATCCCAGAATAAATCCCTGTCTTCTCTGGCAGATGGCTGAGCTGCAAGGGAGCCCTGTGTCCTCTCAGCAACTCTAGCCCACCAGCTGGAATCACACAGACTCTGATCAGCTCTTAAAAGAGGAGGGATGAAAGGACAAAAGAAACCCCCTTCTGGCAGGGGAAGTTGGAGACTGGCATGGGCATGAAATGCCCCTAAATGCATCTGGTCTTTGGCTGTTTGTCGTTGCATTGGACTGCAGTGATCAGAGGTGGCTCTGATGTGTTCATCTGTACAGTGATGCAAGCTGAACAATAACCAGTAATGGAAGATGCTGGGAGCAGGAGGACACTTCTTGTACTGCCATATCCCCCTCTTATCTCTTTTGTTGCTGCTGCTGCACTGACCTGTAAATGGCATTAGCCTCACTGTCATGTGAAAGTCACTCATCTAAGAAGCATAATAAGATTAATGTGAGATTTTACCCCTTCTTGTTCCATTCTTCTTGAGAGTTAAAAGTAAATAAATCTAGCCCTTACTGACCTGGAGATATCTTAGTGTCTGGAATACTAAGCATCTGACATAAGAAAAGAGCCTTTCCCCTTACATGACCATCAGGGAGCTGGAAGTGAAAAGGATTTCCCTTCAGACAGTTTCACAACCTCTGCATGCTGCTGAAGGTAAAATCCCTGCAAACTCTGGAAGGCATTCGTAGGACAGATTTTTTTGTCACTTACTGCTGGCTGAGCTGTCATTCCTTTCCCCAGAGCTTGCTAAATCAGGATGAGACTTGCTCAGTCCTCCCTCCCTCCCTAGATGATAATTATATTTGAATATTAAACATCCACATGGCTTACACAAGTTCCCTGATTAACAAAGCACTTACCCATGCAGCAAAAGACACTTGATTTCAGTTTGATAAACAGGCACCTAAATTTAGGTGGGTGCTCACAGATCTAGCTAGATCAGGGCTTGTGTGAGCAGGAAGCTATCTTACCTGTTTACTGCATTTTTGCTAGATGCTCGGAGTCTGTGCAAATAATGACTTTTCTGTCTGATGTGTAATTAAATTGGATACCACTGGTCACTTCAGGAGACTAAACAAGATGCCACCTGTTTATTCAACATCACTCTGGCATCTTAGGGACTTAACAAAGATGTTAAAGATTTGAAACAGGAATCCTTTCTGTATGAAATCAGGCTGTAACTAGAGAGGAGAGTGGTGACAAAAGCACAAGTTTGTTAGGGCAAGACCAGGCATAAAATGTATGTGGGAAGTGCCATGAATTTTTATAGCAAGGTGATTTCAAAGTGCTGAGTCAGGGAGCGCTGTCCTCCAGCAGCCTCACGAGGGCAAGGTTAAAAAGTACTGGAGGCTGTTTCAAACTCGTTTAGTAACATATATTTACACTTTATTTTCACTTCTACCTGGGAGACCTTGAATGCTGGTGGAGAGCAGAGCTGGTTGGGTGTTGCTTAGCTGGTGGGGACATACATAGGGCAAAGGAAACATCCTTCTCGAAGAGGAGAGGTTGCTGTTGGAAGTAGAAGAGTTTTCTGATCTGATGTGTTTTTTCAACAGATAGTTTCTCAGTTTGACTGTAGCCACATTGCTGGAGATGCTATGTAAAGGACAGTAGCTATTGTGGTTTAATACTCTCTTGGAAGATCCAAACAAGCCTCCTTATGCTGGGAGGTTTATGCAAACCCTCTCCCATTCTTTTTGCTTCTTTTTTATAGGCCATTTCCTACGTGACCTATGGGACATCCGTAATGCTGGGTTCTTTTTGCTTCTTTTTTATAGGCCATAGTCTTTTTTATAGACTCAGTGCTGTGTGTTCCAAGCAGGATGCTGACCTGTAATTTCAGCCCAGGGAGGGTATGGTCACAAGACAGCAGTGTATGTAGAAGAGGGGAGAGAAAAAAGATACCTAATATAATTTTGCCAAGGGATGCAGCAAAGGGCAGGCTTTCTTTCCTGTGACATTTAAGGATCTGTCTTAAATGACTTTATTTCACTTGTCATTAGAGGATTTTGCAGCCTGATTGAGTGCCACAGTTAAATTCTCTCTTGATGAAACCTCATGAGTCTAATTTTAATCTTGTAGGCAACATGGTGTTCAGCCTAAACTGATTATGTTTTGGGATTCCTCTGGGTTGTCGTGAGGGAGAGGGAGGCTGGTTGTCTTTTGTTTAATAAG